AACATCATGGTATCTCAGTAGGCTAGCACAACATAAACGGCATTAGTCCAGACTAGTACAAGTTTTCACACACCCAACATACACACATGTGCATGCATTTCGCTATGTGTATGCAATGTATTGACGTTCAACTCCTAATTTCGCCTCACATTAAACCAGTCAGTCTTTATGTGGTCAAGTTTAGTTTCAAGTGTGTGTTAACTATAGGGTCATTTTGACTACCCAGTACATCACAGGGAGAGTTGGACTTTCAACACTTTATCAGCAGCTACAATTCACGTGACATTCGAATTTCAGTGTGTGAATAATTCGCAAGATCTAAGTGGTTTTAATCTGTCTAAACAGAAAAAAATCATAAATATTTTTTTATTAACTGCTGAAAGGGTCGAGGTTACAACTAGGTTACCCCACCGCCCCTCAATGTGAGGATTTAAAACATTTAACAGGAATGTTAGGACAGAATGAAATCCTGGCTTCAAAAGAGTTTTGTCTCTTAATATTGTTAATGAATAGTGTTAGGCTCAAATTCACAAGTTCATACACTTTGTACCAAAGCACTTACACAAGGATGTGATTTTCAAATGTTATTTCAGTATAGATACGATAATGGCTGATGTATATATGGAAAGCCGAGAGCATGATAATTTAGATTAGTCATTGGTAAACGATATATATACTTTGGCAAATTCGTCCTTTTCAGAAAGGGTTTATGCCAAACATATCCTTTGATTATGACCTAAACATTTACAGATTTTGTGCCACAATCTGTTTTGTATCTTTGTCTGTGATGAAAATAACTGAGTTTGTATTCAGCGGATTTAGCATACTAGTGCTTTTCAGATTTGTTTTTCACTTGTCAATTTGTTAAGGGTCATGTGGCCGTAGTCCCAGATGTCTCTTAACCTACCTGCATCTGTGGTTACATGTTGACAACTCTCACATCCAGTATACTTCTTCGGCTCTAAGTACAATTGCATGATATGACTGATGTTATAATTGTACATCATGGATTTGTATCATGCTACTCTCAAATCTCCACATGGACTACACACTGCATCATCCGATGTTTAATATTTACTTTTGAAATAGGTGCATACTATTTACTAAAATCATGATGTTGATTTCCTAACTAATTGTGAGTTACTAGAAAAATGCAAATACAAATATATTTGATATTTGCACATAGTCGCATATGCACATAAAGCATAACACAAAGAAATTCCAGGCCAAAAAGCAAAATATAAATGTAGGATTGTCTTACAATATACCATGGGTTTGAAAAAAGAATTATCTCCTAATTATCTGCTGACAGAAATCCCAAATGACTTTTCAATGTTGTATCATGTTCAGGTACACCTCGAAGACATCGGGACAAGGTAAAGACATCTACGCAACTGTTATGAGCTGGCCCAACACAGGGGTCTTCCAGCTGACCTGGCCTAACCCCAGTGACAACACTGTGGTCACTCTAATGGGGTACTCAGGTTCCTTCAGCTGGACAAGGGCTGCAGGTCAAGGCATAAACATCAACACTCCCGCCATTCCAGCCAACGCTATGCCATGCAAGTGGGCATGGATGTTCAAGATGACCAATGTCCAAAACTAAGGCAGCATGATCGTGCACCTAGGCCTTCCAGCTGTTTCATAGATGACACGCTTGTGAATGCTTCAAGTTCATATTGTGTAAAGATGGTACCTTTTAAAAAGAAATGTGTGTATTTGTCGTTTAATAAATGATAGATATAACGTCTTTTTGGTGATTTTTGTTGGTTGCTGTAGATTAAATCTGAGAGATGAGAGTATATACATATATATAAATATCTCTCTCTATAGATAGATAGATAGATAGATAGATAGATAGATAGATAGATAGATATGTATACGGCTTAGTGCAATATGTGTCATTTGCAATTGCAATTTTCATCCTATACATTGCCAGCTCTGGGGTCAAAGGTGGACAAGTTTTTGTTTATTTTTATAACAAAAATCTTTGACATAAGTTTGCAAGAGCCAGCTTATAATTAATAGTGTCAATCAAGTGTGAGCGCTACTGCAAGGCCCTTGCTTGTGGATTTGCTTGTGCCTCATCCCCCATCACCTGATGTGTTAAGTTATTTCAAATGGAGGAAATCAAAATGCCACCTATATTCACGAAGTGGAATTTGTCCAACGTACTATTAGCATTGATGGCCGCACCTTACGAGCCTATGCATAAGGTTTTCAAGAAGACCTTTCTACTTGCTATGGCAATCGTAGCTTGAGTGTAAGAGCTGCATGCCATCGACTTTCTCTCCCTCACCCACACACCGGATTTGAGAGGCATTTGAACAGGATCATTAATAGAAACGAAAGTAACATCGACATAATCAGAAGTGACATCAAAGACCGAAGTGACGTCTTGGAAATGTCAATATAACAGTATTTACAGTGCGCGTATCAAGATATTGTGCATTTTCTTAAATGTTTCTGGATTACTGTATGCCATGTCCAACCAAAACCTCTGATGTATTTAGGGTATGATGTAATCGAGGTAAGGTATTCGAAGTAGCTATCAAACAATAGTTTTCATTGTGTATAATTCTAAGAATGCTACATATGTATATTACATCAAGAGGTAATTCCTTTTACCTCCCCAAAATATCTGCATCTTATGGATGTAGTGTATTGGAAAGAAGTGGCATGAATCCCGCCCCGAGCATGCGCTGCGGGATTTGGCAAGGTATGCATTATTCCTAACAACTGATTAGGATGCTTGACTGTGAAGAGGACGTCTGTTGAAAATGTAAGGGTTTATTGGGTGTGATGATTAACCAAATTTCAAGAATGTTGGCTATGATGTAAAAAAGGTAGTATGTTTAGAATTCTACACAATGATAACTATTCGTCCCATGTCGTGATTGTAAAAGTGCCCAAAGTCCCATGTCGTGATTGTAAAAGTGCCCAAAGTGCAATTATCTAATCTACAATGTCGCCCCTTATCGGCCATCCTAGTTTGCTGGCGACCCATTCTAACCGCTAATCCCCCCACGTCCCAGTTTCCATACCATAACTTCTAGTTAAGCTTCATCGTCCCATCGGAAGGGGGGGGGGGGGGGGGGGGGGGGGGGGATCTGTACTGTATAGTAAAGCCCACTTGGGTTCATAGCGAACTTCTGGCGCTCAAAGGCGAGGAAGGGTACGTAGCTAGAACGTCAGCCATTTCAAAAAGTGGTGACATGTATTGCTGTTAAAAGATTGGGTTGTGATTGTTATCATTTCATTTATCAACTATTGTAACTTGGGTCAAGATTATGATGGTGATTCTGTGGTGAACTATGACACGGGTTGGCCTTGACCTGTAGATACAGAGAGTGGAACCATTCAAACGGGGAAAACTACTGGCCAGGGTGCAGGTCCGTCTTTAGATTTAAGTGCTTATTTTTGTTGGTGTTATCTGGGCATGATTATTTGTCTATGCATGATGCGGTCATGTGTACCAGCCGGCAAACTCACTCACTCACATTTTTATATTTCATAATCAAATATAATTGCATATTATTTAAATATAATATATCATAAATTTGTTGTGCAATGTTTCCTTTGCAATGAGCCCAGATTTTGTTTGTAGCATCAAGCATGCACTCACTCACTCACTCACTCACTAAGGGTAATGCAAATCACAGATTTGCTCATCATCACTTTTATGTAATCTTCGGTGACATGGATCATTGCTCATGCTATCAACCTCTGGTTTGCCTGGTCCAAATTTTATCGTTTAAAAGGATGAAATGACACAACACCGCAACACTGACAGCAGTCACTCATTCACTGACATAATATCTTCATACTTAGCTTCAGAAGCAGCAAACAATTCATCCCAAGCTTTAGCATCATAAAACCCTGCCGTGAAGTCACTTACCAAGACAGCATAAGTTGAAGTCAGCTTTATAGTTGTCCTTCATATATTGCACATAGCTTGGATTAATTTTTGCCATTGTCAGCGTTTAGATAGGTTGTAAGGACCTTGATAGCTATCATTTCTAGATATGGTGATGTAATCTGGGTCAAGGTCTTGATGTTGATTACTTTGTCTGTTCTGTTGTGATGTCCTGGTCGGCCTTGTCCTGTAGATGGGGATATCTCTTCATGACACACAATAAACTAACGTGCACAAATCAATATGCTGACAACTAAATCTTGAGTAAGCAATTTCAGTTATTATTTTAGTAATAGCATTTTGTTATGTAAATAAAAGGTTAATATTTTTAAGAATATATGTGTTACTGCCCGATAAAGATTGTAAAGGAAAATGACTTGGGTAGTCATTCAATGTAATGTGAACAAAGTTATAATAAAACATGTTCTAATTTATCCTGTAACCGGATTTGAAACACGGGTTTGAAATTACTCTGCAATCTACATGCACCTAACCATTAAATAGTTTGCATTGCTCAATGATTTAAAGGCAGAATGGGTTTTTTCCATTTTTCATTTTTACGTTTACCCCTTTCAAACTGTATGCATTTGAACTTATGAGCTGCTCTACTTCTCATAAAAAGCAAGAACAAGCATCTTGTACAGGTTATAGTTCTACTACAAGTTTCATATTGGGATATTTCATACTAAATCACCTATTAATTAAATAAATAAATGTAAGTGATTTTGTGGCATTTTATTGGGGTTTGCGTTTTTGTTTTGTTTCCATAAACCTAAAAAGGTTAGGACATGTCCACTAAAAACTGTTTATCTGATTGGTTGATAATAGAATGGGAGGAGCGTCCGTTCACGTGGTTACAATACTGCACATACTTTTGTCGCTGATTTTGTATTATTATCTAAAGTTGTTTATGTATTATTGGTTAAACAGTCTTGAAGTTATTATTGCTGACATATTTGTATATAAGAAATGACTTCATTACTTGTTTGTGTTTAAAGAGTCAGCCCACACCCTGCTGACCAAGTTAACATCTTTGGTCATGTCTACAAGATGTCATATGAAAGACAGAAGATAGAATGTTTGTGGTTCAAATCCAATCACAAGAATAGGATATTTTATTTCGGGCACACATACATGTCACAATTGCAAAGTAACATTCATAACTTTCACCATGGAATTTGCGTCATGCACGTTTAGCGTCAATATGTCACAGCTACCATACTCATAGTTAATATATTATATTTAACAAAGAAACAAACACACTAAATATAGTGACGTTAGTGTTTACATGCATGCAGTCAAGGTAGCATTTATTTTATGTCAAAATAACTTTTATTTGTAATACAATAATGTAAGTTATATAAGATACGTATATTATTATATTTGGACCCATCCTAGTGTCAATCATTTGATTGTGAAGGTCAATCCTATTAATTGTCAACCATTCATGTCACTGTAACGATCATCCCATTGTTTACCGTCCATATCATCGTGAAGGTACATCCCAGTAATTGTTAACAAGTTATGTTAGTGCGAAAGATTGTCCCATGGTTTATCATTAATGTCCTTGCAAATACCCGTTCTATCATCGACGATTTATGTCAGCGCGAAGACCCATCCCCACTGACATGGCATCTTGTTGACAGGGATGGGAGGGATTGTGATACTGATTCCTTTGGGCGAAGCATACTGCCAGGAGAAGCTTCCAGTGTACCCAAGGAGGTTGACTTGTGTTCCATTAGTTGGCAAAGCTGATCCTAGGTGGAGTTGACCTGGGTGTGGCCAGTTCAGCACTATGGCATACACGATCCCAGCTCTCTGTGTGTACCTGAAGAGTGATCACTGAGTGTAGTTAAACAGCGTACTGAATCTGGGGAATATCTCAACCTAAAAACAATGTGGTGACTTTACAGTTCGACAAACCAAGGGAATTTAATCCGGGAATCAAGCATAATTTAATTTGTGTGACCATAAGCTAATTAAGGATTCAGGTCAGTCAGAGTTAAACCATGACAGTCTGTTCTTGTAGTATGTACATTGATTTGTTTTATTCAAATTACTATATTTGATGTATTAAGCGCCTGACAAAATGGGAGGGGTGGGTGGGATGTGGGTAGTGGTCGGGAGGTTGGGGTGGAGGGTGCACGTAGAAACTATACACAAGTTCAATCAATTGTCAGAGATCAAGTGTTGGAGGAGAGACTTCATCCAAACATCCATGTACCAATAAATAAATTCATAATAGTTACTTGACAGTTACATACCATTGCTTCACTGTTGTGCCTAGACAGATAGTCATCTACATAGGCCTAATGTCAGGAGCTTATAATGATTACTTAAGCATTTGTCGCAAATTTGGTCAGGGGGTTCTAATACGGCAAATGCGGTACCTATTAATATGCGGCATTTTATGTGTCCAATATGGTATATTAAGTTAAACATGTAATGAGGCCATGGCTACGTGATCTTTGCGCCTTGACTGTCATATGTCTGTTTAATGTGTATTGCTAGTGTGATCGGGGCCCTGCAAGGTGATTGACATATGATTGAAAATGAGGATCTCACTGGTTTCAGGGAGAAATGTTATGACCTCAACAGTCATATATATACATAAAGTACCAACCAAAGTCTTTATTTGCCTGCGTCGGATGTCATTCCTGATTTGTTTTCACACTTTCAAGGAAGGTCGAAAAATCTCCATGGACCATTATTTCTGTCAATCTTATTAAAACATCTTATCACATACAGTTGTGATTTACTTGATTTCCTTCACTGCGTATCGAATTTCATCAGGTAAGATGACAACGAGTTAGGGGTAAGACGAAAAGAACTCGTCTTCATGCTGGACGACCACGTGCTGTACCGCCCCTTACAGATCGTCATATTGCCAACAATCGTGTACTCAACGTCGAAACTGGGGTAAACTTTGCTTGTGACGTGGCATGTTTTGAGATGAGTCCCGATTCACTGTGTCATGCGACGTTGTAATGAACGTAAAGCCATGTCATCCTGAGACGTCATAACAGATTTGGCGGTGGATTGGTTATGGTACGGGATGGCGTCGCTATGGCTGAGCGAACCCTGTTCCATATTGTGCAAGGAATGGTCACTGACAGTATGAAAACATACTGACAACTTTTGTTGTCCCGTTTGCAAGGCTCCGAGTTCATTCATTGTTATCATAAAACTATTACTAGAAACTAATATCACTTTCAATTTTGGACATTTCCAAGTATCCACCACTTTGTTTGAAGTGAATGACTGTCATTCTTGGCGAGCCAAGGTGTGGAATACTTAAAGTACCTACCACACGCCTGGTGTGACTGTGTCATTCTGGGCCAGCCAGGGTCTGGAGGCGTAGATGGCCTCCCCATTCACCTTCAGCCATTGTCCCATCTGACGCAGTCTCTCCTCATAGATGGGACTAATCATGCCATATTTGGTTGGACCCACATTGATCAGCAGGTTCCCTCCACAGCTGTAAATGAAAAAAACCCAGGATAAAACACTATCTGACACCTGTTATGAGTATGATGCAAAAACGTAGGAGTATAGGCGGCACATTCGTCTAAACCGCCAAATTTCACTGTGCAGAGTTGCGTTGCTAATGTGTCCCAGCAACCTATGATTGTGGGTTCAAGTCCTAGTCCTGATTATGTTTCAAGCTTTGTGAGCGCCAATTGATGTTTATGGGTTTCTGTGACCCACACAACCATGGGCTTTCCTCCACATCATGATCACTGTCATGTACACAGAAATTTGGTGCAATACTACCGGTTTTGGCTTAACTGAACTAAAGGTATATTTTACACTTGTTGATGTGGAAATGTTGATATTTATACACAGGGCTTTATTGAGCACTCTATATGATCTTGTATCAGTGCCATATCATATTGTTCCTTGTAGGTTGCGTCCACAAAATCATTCCTTGATTTCACTTTTCAAAACCATTAAGATTCTAGTTTTGTATTTGTTTTGTCTTAAAGTTTCTTCAGTGATATCTTACAGCCTCAAGTAACTCATCTCACAATCTCAGCAGACGCACCTTGCAGTCACAGCAGACGTACTTAATACTTTACAATTGGAGTTGAGATAAGTGAAATGTGGTTCAACGTCGCGTCCAAGATTATTGTATGTATATAGCGGTGTGTGTGTCTGTGTGTGTGTGTGTTTGTGCGTGTGTGCGTGTGTGCGTGTGTGTCTGTGGCTGCTTGACCTAGTCCAGACTGAAGCCGATCTTATAGTGCTAGCCTACTCAGATACAATATCACAGTCTAAACATGAATACCCCACTAAGACACAGTATACGGTGATCGAACCCTGAATCTTTCGCTCTCCACTAGACCACAGAGACGGTCTTCAAGGCTGGAAGACCACATCATTTGTTACAAAAAGCAAAAAGCCATTCATGAAGCATGTTTTTGCTACTCTACGGTGCCTGCAAAAAGTCGTATTCGCAAAGCGGTTGGTATCAAGTATTAAACTTTTTCTAATGTTGCACTTTTTCATCAACTTCAAAGCTGTGAGGACTTTGGTTATGGGCCACCCTAAACTAAAGTGGTAACTAAGAACATTGTAACATATACAGCGTCGGCTGCTGTTCATTTATATACATACGTTAATGTGTGTACACACCTGACAGTTTCAACTAGCACTGCTATAATCTCTTCCATGGTCAGATAATCATCCAGAACAGCCTCTCGACGGAATCCCCACGATTTCTTGTCAATGGTCATCGCATCCTCCCACTTTCTAGGCTGAAGTACTCCTTTAACATATAAGAAGAATCATCTGTTATTTCACATTCCAAGTGTTCATGCATTCATTATCACAGTTATTTGAAGTAGTGATATCATTCTGAATTATATGAGGTGATTTGATCAAACATTTTACCTTCAGTGGAGGGAAGCCCAGAGGTGAAAGCGTTTACCATCTCATTGAAGGCCTGTGTTTGATTCTCACATGGACACAATGTGTAAAGCCAATTTTTGGTGTCCGCACTCGATATATTTCATGCTTCATGCAGTGTCATACCATACTCACTCACACAATGTGTAAAGTATTTCAATTTAGTACCTGGATTGTACCTGTCATGGCATGTCAAGAAACCCCCATGTTGACAATGGTCTCCGTCTCCCCATCTATCATTGGTGACCACCTTCTCTTTCACTGGGCTGCAAAGGGAAAATATTCAGGGGATCAGACTGCAAAATGATCAGAGCATATTATTGTGATGGGTAGTGTTGGCTTATTTATTCCTAGTCATTTGTCCCAAGCTATAGGGTATAACATGTGAATATCACTGCTTGTACAAGAACAAGAAAAGTATGTGCAGAAGTGGGAAACGTGGTGTGAAGGAGCAGAGATTTATTTGTTGTTGTGTGCAATTCTACATAATGTCACTTTCTCGTTTATTTTCTTGCAGTTTCCATGGAATTCTATAAGACACAGTCCACAAGTACATTGGTCCATAAGACAAAGGCCAACAAAAACATTGTTCAAGACAAGTAATATTTACAGGTGGTGGTCAGCGTAACCAGAAGATATATCATGTGCTGGTCCTACCATTAACAGAATGAAAGAACATACATGTGTAGAATATTATCAATATACATGTGTGTAGGCTTAATCTGCGCTGAATGGTGAGGTAACAATCTTGCAATGTCACCTTTTTGTATATATACACAATGTCACAAGATAAAAGCATACACTATTTTTTCAACACAACCGTTGTATACCTGTCATTGTAGAGCCAGGCCAGAAACTCCTTGGACCCCCAGTAGGTATCTGAGGCCTCCCAATCTCCGTCAGACCACACAATGTCAGGCTTGTAGTTGTTCACAAGCTCGTACAGCTCAGGAATAGTCTTTTCCTGAAATTGATTTGAATTTCATGGAACGGGTTTTTATTCCCGTCCAGTTCCAGATAATCTCTACATGACAGGAATGTTGACTTGTAGACTATATTCTGTTTCTTGGATGCAAAAAGTACCATGATGCTGCTCAATCACTGGTTATAGCCCTATCGGTATGAGCTATGCAGCAGCATAAATAGTATGTACGACTGTTTTTATGGGAGGCAAGCTTTACCTCTTCTGAAGGAGCCATTATGGCAAAATCATGGCGGGGCACACCAGAAATGGACTTTGCAACTTGTACCCATCCCATCACTGATGAACTGAGACTAAATACATGTACCGACTCACCTCTTACAAACCTCCTCACCAACCTACTCACCAAGTTCAATCACCAGCCTAATCACCAACTGAACCACTCATCAACTCACCCTCACTCATTAATACTCACACCATCTCACCTACCAGTTCTCTGATCCACTCTCAAAATCAATTCGCCAGCCCAAATCACACCATGTAGACGGTAGCACGGTAGTTAAGGGGCCAGTTTAAACGTTTAATGGCCTCTTTCGTCTTGCAGTCTCATGTTTGCACTGTTTTTTTCACGTCATCTGTCATCATACATGTATATAACGCACTGCACTAGATGGACTATTGCCGGCGATGATAAAAGCCTATCCTGTGGAAAGACTGGATGTATTTTATGACACCTCATAACAGCATATGAGTGAAAATAGTATCGGTTTAGTGTCGTTACTATATAAATATATAAATAATTGAGAAATCAGGTAAGTTGATTTTGTCGGATGGAAAACGTGCAGGGCAATTAAATCCCCAATTCAAAATCTTAAGGAATTAAGATTTTTATCCGACATCGTACTTTTGAACTGGTCCCTAAAGCGTTTGCTGTGAAGGCCAAGGTTCGAGTAGAATGTGTGAAACCAATTTCTCGTGTCCCTGCCATGATGAAATATTACCCAAAGTGGCATAAAACCATACTCTTCCACTTCCACTGTGTAGCTAATCTACAGTAAAACACACTTTCTACACCGACAATCCATCAGTGACATATTTAGTTAAACTGACCTCGACAAACCTGGAGGTGGTGAACTTGTTAGCCTTGTCCTGTAGATAGAGAGGGTGGAACCACTCAAAGAGAGAGTGGTACAGGCCAAGGTGCAGATCCGTCTTTGATTTCAATGCATCAGATATCTCACCTAGTGATAACATTATGTCTCCTGTTTATTATTTTACAGCTTATCCATATTCAAACTTGTCGAAATAAAACTTTTATTGAATTGTCAAATACTTTTTAAGTTGATTTTTTTATCTTGAAATCAGAGAAATTAAACGACAAATAAATGTGGCATGGCGTACAGAGTTTCCTTCCCGTACCGATTTACTTTGGAGATTTTTATTTTTGAATTCTGCAGGGAAAGCAAACAAATCTTTATAGCATTGAAACCTTATTCCACATTTGAGAAACGAGAAATTATGGGAGATCTAAAAACTAAAAAAAATAAATGGGTTGGGAAAATATTAGAAACTAGAATTGCTTAATTGTATACAAACTGAAATTATTATATTTATGTTTTTGTCTTGATGTATACAGTTACCAACAAGATCTCTCTTTGGCCCAACCATCATTGAGTTCCAGTTAAAACTGACATTAGTAGGCCAGTTGCAAAACCCTCCATGATGTTTTGTTATAAACACAATGTATCTGGAAACAACATAAACTGAGGTGACATATAGGATTCATGTTTGAATTACAAAGAAAGCTCACTCACTCAATCAATCACTCACATTAAACATGAAACAGCTGAAACGGCACTGACTACAGCATCTACTCACTCACTCAATTATTAACATCATACTTAGCCCCAGAAGCAGCAAACAACTCGGCCCAAGCTTCAGCATCATAAAACTCGGCCGTGAAGTCACTTGCGAAGTCAGCATAGGTGAAGTCAGGTTTATAGTTTTCCTGCATGTACTGCACATACATTGGATTCTTTTCTCCTTGCCAACGTTCCCAAAACCACTCGTTTCCAAAACTTGGTACTGAAAATAGTCCCCAGGACACAAAGATTCCCACTTTAGCTTCATCATACCAGGTCGGTAATGGCCTGGAATCTAGGGACTCCCATGTGGGGTCGTAGCGAGTCTCAATCTTATTGGGTCTTCCTGATCGTCCACATGCTAGTGTTGTTAAAGCTAGCAATATCAGGACAATTATCTTAGCGTACATTGTTGATGTCGGACGGGTGTGTTGTGATCCTGCATAAATGTTTGATGATAACTAATAGCCATTCTCTTCAATGACAAAATAATGTCAAGGACAGCTGATAACATTGTGTGTCTATATGTTCAAGGTTGAAGAAAAGCTAGATAACAATGGCTGTACTTTACAACACGGTAGATGCAACAATCAAGTCCTCAGTGCAGCTTTAATATGGTGGACACGTGGTGGACATTTCCAAATTTGACGCATCAGTGATTGATGTCCAATGCACTTCCTTATTTTGACTTGTACACTAATTCCAGTGTTGTTTTTCAAGTCAATAATTGACTTGACTTTGCATGTGTTTGTGACTGGGGCCACCTGTGGGGCATGATACGCTCACCTTTCTGCGAACACCTGGTATCATCGATACTTCACAGTGATGTGTACACACATGCTCATGACATAGTCGAAATCGTACAATCGACTCTGTTTTTGATGGAGATTGCTTATGAGTATGGAAGGGTCTTTGTTTTTATTGTAATGTCTCTATTGTGTCTGTCTTACCTCAGATGAGTAGACATGTAATGCCACTGTATTTGTTCAAGAGAGTTCCACCTTACTTTCAATATGACCATGTCCCGTCTGGTTTGCAGTTGCTCATTAAGCTCTATGTAATCAGCTGAAGATCTATATATTAACAGCCAAACAAATGAAAAACGAATAATGTCAGACGCAACATAAATGTGTGGAGCGTGATATATAACTGAGCGTGGAGTCAGCCCAAATCTTACTGGTGGGGTTCATCTGTGTGGTCGTGTCTACAAGGTTTCCGATGGTGGCATGTCCAGCAGAGTTGGGTGTCAATACACACCTTGCTGGTGGGGTTTATCTGTGTGGTCGTGTCTACAAGGTTTCCGATGGTGACATGTGGAACAGAGTTGGGTGTCAATACACACCTTGCGAACTGGGTTAACCTCTTTGTTTGGGTTAACGGTTTTGATCATGTCTATAAGATGCCGTCTATTAGAATATTTGTGTTTCGAATCTTCTCACATAAGTAATGTACGAAATTGTATCCTGTCATACATGCATGTCAACATTATGTTGTAATATTCACCTTTCATCATGTGATTTGCATCATGCATGTTTAGCGTCACATCGCACACCTACCCTTAATCCTTGAGTTAACACCCAGTGCTTTCAAGAGAAATAATCCCTGCACTTACTCCAGGCTATGTGTAGTTTATGAAGATGTATCTATAATATACATATGTTACAAACAAGCACATGAGATATAATGATTGTTATGTTTTAATACATTCAATCAAGGAAGAATTCATGTCAGTATTTAAACAGCAAAAATGTAAGTGTAAAAACATACATGTCTATTTGGACCCATCCAGTTTCAACTATTTCCTGTCAATAATTGTCAACCGTATCTGTCATTGTGAAGCCTCAACCAACTGACAAGCATTTATGTCATTGCAAAGGCCCAGCCCTTTTTTCAACAATTTATGTCATTTTGAAAGCCCTACCCATTTTTGGCCTGAAAGTCCTTGCAAATACCCGTCCTTTCGTCAACCATTTATGTCAGTGAGAAGACCCATCCCCACTGACATGGCATCTGGTTGACAGGGATGGGTGGGATTGTGATACTGATTCCTTTGGGTGAAGCATACTGCCAGGAGAAGCTTCCAGTGTACCCAAGGAGGCTGACTTTTGTTCCATTAGTTGGCAAAGCTGACCCAAGGTGGAGCTGTCCTGGTTGTGGCCAGTTCAGCACAATGGCATACACGATCCCAGCTCTCTGTGTGTACCTGAAGAGTGATCACTGAGTGTAGTTTAGAAGAATCTATGGATATTAGAGATTTTTAACCGAAGACCAAATTCCTGAATTTATAACTTCACATAGAAGAAAGTTCAATTCGGAAAATCAAAATCAAGCACAATTCAAAGATGAATAGGATAAAAGTCAGGAAGATTTAAACCATAACAACATTTGCAAATGCAAATTATCTGCTCCTGTATAACCCACGTTGTTTTTCTGTTTGTTTGTTTGTTGTAATTGTTGTTTAACGCCGAACCGAGTAATATTCCTGCTATACGACAGCGATCTGTAAATAATCGAGTCTGGACCAGACAATCCAGTGATTAATACCATGCCTATCGATCCACGCAATTGAGATACGATTACATGTAGCATACAGGGAGCGAGCATGACCAAACGGTCCCGGTAAGCGCCTCTTACGACAAGCATAGTCGCTCTTACAGCAAAAAACGGGATGCCGGATCTTCATATGAGTGTGTTTTTTTCTGATTAATATTTCCATATTTGCCATTATTAGCACCCAAGAGAAAAGTGGGGGTCGCAATAATAAAGAAAACCATACACAGATTAAATTTGGTGTTAGAGATCGGGAGGTGGAGGACAGACTATGTTTACACATCCATAAAACTAAAATTAAATTGACAATAGTTACTTGGCAGTTACTTACCTTTACCTTTCCTGTCGTGTTTACTGTGACAAAGAACTTTAATGTCCATTAGGAAACACAGCTTGTTACGAAAACTTTCGGCGCTTACACAGATCACTTAGGGATTAGTCAAGAAATTGGTCAGGGCTGCTAAAACGGCAAATACTAAACCTACCAAGATGCAGTTCATATCTGTAGATTATGTGGGAAATGAGGCATACTGAGGTGAATATTTAGAAACTCAACTGGCTAAGTGACGTCAGTGGCTTGACTGCCATAAGCCTGTGTTCGAGTAGGAAAATTGAGATAGTCATTCTGGGCCAGCCAAGATGTGGAATATATAAAGGACTAACCAAACACCTGGTGTGACTGTGTCATTCTGGGCCAGCCAAGGTCTGGTGGCGTAGATGGCCTCCCCATTCACCTTCAGCCATTCTCCTAAATGACGCAGTCTCTCCTCATAGATGGGACTAATCATGCCATATTTGGTTGGACCCACATTAATCAACATGTTCCCTCCACAGCTGTAATTGAGAATATCAGTATAAAACATTATTTGATATTGTAATAATTATTTAAGTGTATGACATATACAGAAATACTGTTCAAAATTGGCAAAATGTTAAAATGGGGTAAGTGTCATCTAAACCGAAGATATAGTTTACACTTGCTGATGTGGATACGTGGATGTGAGATGCCCAGGGCTACAAACATCACCCCACAGGAGCTTGCGTCATCGATACATCGCCTGTGCAATATTGTCCCTCTTATGTTGAGTCAACACAATCATTCATCAACTTCATTTTTCCACATCAGTAAGAGTCTATTAACGGACGTATGGCGCACCCTACTTCGTATCTTACATGTACATCCTCAACAGACATACCTTACATTCTCAGCACCCATACCTTCAAGGCTTGAAGACAAAAACATGTGATAACAACATGTACAACTCCATGAGCCTGGCAAAACAAACCAGTAAATATGGTATCATCTGTTTTTGTCACGCAAAGCAATAAGTGAGTGAGTGAGTGAGTATGGTTTTACGCCGCATTTAGCAATATTCAAGCAATATCACGGCGGGGGACACCAGAAATGGGCGAGCCTTTCATGAAGCATGTTTGGGCTACTCTGTCGTCCCTGCTGCAAATCATATTTGCAATGCTTTTAGTATCAAGTATCACACTTTTTCGAGTGTCACTCCGTTCCATCAACTTCGCACCAGTGGTGACCTGATATAAGGATCATGAATGATTGGTGACCTGGGTTGAAGGTCGTAAACAGTGGTGACCTGAGTTAAGGGTCATGAACAGTGGTGACCTGATATAAGGGTCATGAACAGTGATGACCAAGTTCAAGAGTCACCACAATTTTGGCTCTGGTCAATGTCACTTGGTTGATAATGTGCCAACGTCCCATGACAGTGTAGGACATAATATCAACCACTTGTGTCGTGTGGTACATTACATAATGTATTTCCATCACAACAGTTTGAGTGTACACACCTGACAGTTTCGGCTAGAAGTGTTATAATCTCTTCCATGGTCAGAAAGTCATCCAGGACAGCATCTCGACGGAATCCCCAGGATTTCTTGTCAATTGTCATCGCATTCTCCCACTTTCTCGGCTGAAGTACTCCTTAATATGTCAGAACAATCAGTTGTAGTTTCAAAACCAAGTCATTAGCATAACTGCATTTGATGTTTGTTATGTTTAACGCCACACTGAGCAATATTCAACCTATATATAGATATATCGAGTCTAGACCAGACAATCCAGTGATTGATATCATGAGCATCGATCCACGCAATTGGGATACGATGAAATGTATCACCCAGGGAGCGAGTGCGATCACCCGAACCCGTTAGTCGCCTCTTACTTCAAGCATAGTCACTTCTTACGGCAAGCATGGTTTGCTGAAGACCTATTTTAACCCGGATCTGCATTTGAAAATCGGTGAACAGATATTTTTGTCTACATACAATGATACAATTGCAACTGACTTGTCAACGCCAAACAATAACCTGTCTCGATTTCCCGATGAAAGGGCATGAAAGAAAAATAACAGCGAATATTATAGGAATGGATCAATTAAAAACAAAGACGACACCAGTTGTCCGTGAAAAAGGAAAGCGTATCCCAACCGGTAGCACCCGCCACTCACACAATTTGCATAATAAAAGTAAAGAATTTATTTCATTTGTCTTTTCGCTAACACCTGGTGTTTACGCTGATTTTCAGTGGTCCAGTCATGCAGTTTTCACAGCCATTTTGCTCCTTACGCCAAATGAAACTGTTTCGTTGGATATTCAAGACTGGTTCATCTCTTGCATTAGCGTGTTATATGTCAATATACACAATTAATGCCAGTTCTATGTAAGGTCAATATTGGAAGATATCCAATAGTTTACATCTGTTCTTCATGTGAAAGGGGTGGAGGGTCGCCCAATGGTTGAATCATTCACTCATCACACTTGGTACAGAGTGTAAAGCCATCTCTGGTGTCCCCAACCACAGTTGGATCATCGTTAAAAAACAGTTTTGAACCATACTCTCTAAGTCACTCACACTCCTGCAAAATATTTTAGTTAACTACCTGGATTGTACCTGTCTGCGCATGTCAAGAACCCGCCATGATGACACAAGTCCCCCTTTCCCCATCTGTCATTGGTGACAACCCTATCTTTCACTGGGCTGCAAAGAGAAATTATTGAAGAGACCGATGTGTCGCCATTGCACACAATGACTTATTCTTTGATTGGCAGTGATTTTTTTAATTACAAGTCATTTGTCTCAAAGTAAAGTCTAGAAAATAGGAAAATCACTTCCTTTACAAGAACCCCAAAGTACCTAAAACTACGAATGATATGTGCAATGATGGAAAACATAGAGTGAGGCAGAGGAGACTGGTTTGGTTTCTGCAAGCAATTCATAATTTCACCGCCTAATTTCTTTGCAGTTTCTATGAGGCACACTTCCCAATTGCACCGGTCCGCAAGATATAAGCCAGTCATCATTCTTCAAGACAAGATATGTTTATAGGTTGAGTATATATTGCGTCCCGCGATAGGTTTTTACACTGCGAGTGACGAGTGGTATAAAACCTGAGGAGAGACGCATAAAATCCCTATACCCTTCATGCTACAACGAATCTATCTTACCGACATTTTTTAATGTGACATTGTTAAAGAATTAAAATAAATACAAAATTGACAGCTGTTCGATTGAGCTGAGGTTAACTTGTGCTGTATCACATGACTTTCATTGACTCTGAAAAAAAACGTGTGGCTTTTGCATCGACCGGGTATAAGGGTTTTCTTCTGCCTCTCAGAAATCCACGTGCAGCCTGACTTAGTTGCAGTGGGGAAGAGGATATGTATTCTCCCGCTGAGAAATTTATTTCCATACAAGGCGGGATACATAGTATTATATCAAGATCACGTGCACCAATCAGATCTCATCATTCTGACATCGAGGTATTATAAAATCTGCTATCGTTTTGACTAATTTTGAACAGAGTACCCCGCATGCGCAACGTCACCTTTCTGGATATTTACACAAGGTCACATGATAAAAGCGCTGAATACCTATCATTGTAGAGCCAGGCCAGAAACTCCTTGGAACCCCAGTAGGTGTCTGGGTCAAACCAGTCTCCATCAGACCACACAATGTCGGGTTTGTAGTTGTTCACAAGATCGTACAGCTCAGGAATAGTCTTGTCCTGAAATTGATTTGATTTTCATGATACATGATGTCATATTTTCGTGGTACACCCTGTAACGATAACAAGTTAAATGGTCCGGACTCATTTCATATAAGATGCACATGACAGAAATAAAACAATAAAAACCGGGTAATTAATGAGGTGACTAAGGGTGGCTTACAGTAAGATATCTAGTATTACTACAGTCTTTTGGGAGGGAAGCTTTTACCTTTCCTGAAGGAAGTAGTATGGTTTTACGCCACTAGCAATTATATCATGGCAGGGTGCACCAGACATGAATCTTACACATTGTACCCAACCCATCAGTGACGAATTGACCTAACCTACCAACCGACCCAGCTCTTACTGATCTACTCACCAACCCAAATAACCTAATCACCAATCTCATCACCAACAGACACACATATTCACACACCCTTTCACATTAACCTTCATACAATCTCACAAACAAATTCACTAATCCACTCTCAAAATCAACTTACCAGCCCAAATCACACCATGTGCGCCATGAAGGCCTAGGTCTGTGAACTCTCACATCTCTACAAGACATCACCTACAGGGACGAATTCAGCTCCTTCGAGCTCGAAACCCCAGTACAACCACCTCCAGCACGGTTGGTCGAGTTCAATTGGTGGATGGATGTCTAATTGTCGTGATGTGAAAATTCCCCTACTATTCCCTCATGCCTACGGAAGCACCACGAGGAGGGTGTGTGTGTGGAGCTACAGTCCAAGGGCCCAAGTAGAACGTCCCACCTTCCCAAAATATCTGCATTTAGTGGGTGCAAGTAGTAAAAAGAAGTGACGTTTTTCCCTCCCCCATGCATGTACATAATGCGCTTTCCCTAACAACTGATTGGGATGGCAGACTGTGAAGAGGACGTCTGATGAAAATCTGAAGATTATTTTAGTGTGATGATTTACAAATTGCAAGGATATTGGCTATGATCTAACAGAGGTAGTATGCTTAGAATTCTACACAAATATTGTTTGATTTCTGGTTCTCCTGTCAAGATAGTAATGGAAAATTCCCAAAAGAGGCCTATACCATAATCGTTCCCTCATACCGTATAGCTCAATTTCAATGAATTAACACACTTTCCCTACCAACAATCAATCAGTGACATATTTGGTTCAGCTGACTTCAACAAACTTGGTGGTGGTGTAGTTGTTGGCCTTGTCCTGTAGATAGAGAGGGTTGAACCACTCAAACAGAGAATGATAAAGGCCGAAGTGGAGGTCTGTCTTACTTCGGATAGCCTGCTCCAGCTCACCTGACAACACATGTACTGATCGTTGAACTAGTTGGTTTTTTTTGTTCCATGCCGCATGCCTCACTATTTCAGCTACATGACGCCTCTGTAAATAATCCAATCTGGACCAGACAATCCAGTGATTGATATTTTGAGCAATTATCCATGCTCTCGGGTCACCGTGAATGCCTGATCCATTGTGTCACCTCTTTCTGAACGGACGAGGATTTTGGGGAACCTATTATAACCTACAATCTTGAGGGGTCCACATGTGAGGGTTGACTAGTTGGCAAAACGTTATGTTGACCACTTAATCCACATGGAGAGTTGTCATACCTTACACAGTATCCTAATGGAGAAGTGACTACATGACAGATCGTTTCATTGACCAATTAATTCACAGGTTGACCAAATGCGATATCATTACGGTGAATATTTAATGCACATGGAGGGTTTATTGCAATGGAGATCTTTACACTTTCCACTTAGTCCACATGTGTGGAGGGTTGACTACATGGTAGATCATTACACTGACCAAGCACTGTATCCACTGCAATATATATCATATAGTTTCTTACCTACAATATCTCTTTTTGGTCCTACCATCTGGGAGTTCCAGTTGAAGGAGACATTTGTTGGCCAGTTGCAGAAACCTTCATGGTGCTTGCTTACAAATACAATGTACCTACAACAAACAATCATGGTGTTAAATGAGGGCATGTTCAGGACAGTCGTCTACTGTACTGTATAGGAATAGTAGCAATCATCTCATACTTAGCTCCTGAGTCTGCAAATAGCTCCGCCCATGTGTTTGCATCATAGAATTCAGCTGTAAAATCCTTAGCAAAATCTGCATATGTCCAATCTGGTTTATAGTTGTTCTTCATGAATTCTATGCAATCAACATCCTTCTTCCCCTCCCAGCGGTACCAGAACCACTCGGAACTAAAACTTGGTACCGAGAACACTCCCCAGTGGATAAAGATTCCCAGTTTAGCTTCATCGTACCACGACGGAAAGGGACGGGAATCTAGGGAATCCCAGCTGGGTTCATAGCGAACTTCTGGAGTTTCTTCGTTTAGTACAACACCCGCACGGGTAGTGCCAAGGATGGTTAGGAAAAGAGTACCAGCTAGAAGGGAAGCCATTTCAACAGTGGTGACGTTATTGCTGTTACGATATATGAGTGTAATTGTTATCATTTTCAGATATGTTGGTGTACACTGGGTCAAGGCAATGATGTTGATTATTTTGTCTATGCATATGTGGTGTGGTGATAGAGATATCATCCCATGACTCACAATAAATTAAAGTGTAAAAAAGGTTCATAGTTTAATACTTATATAGATATTTAGCCCGTTGAAAATCGTAAAGGAACATTCTTTGCTAAGTCATTCATTTTTAATGTGCATAAAGGTAAAGTAAAGCATCTCGGTTAACCACAATGACGTTAACCGAGAAAGCTATCATATGTCAGAAAACTAAATGTTTCGTCATATACAGACGCACGTCGCTCGCTTTGATCCTGCATGTAATTCTAATAAAGAACCCATAGTAATTTGAAATTGATATTTTTTACATATATTTAAGCAGTTAAGCGCTAAGAGTATGAAATGTAGTAAATACAATGTTAAAGAGAAACTGCAATCATTGACGTGAAAGGTAGTATCAATAAAAATATTCCTATTTGTTAAAAAGCACATGATTCGCTGTTTCAATCTAACGTTGCATCTATTGTTATTATTAACCATAAAAACTTCACAGACTGTATATTTAACAATAACACACACAAGATTGCAGATAACAATACCGAATCAGAGACATAATTCAGCGCAATAATATTAATGCAACACAGGCCCCGTTCATTCTAGTATCAACCAATCAAGACCTAGGTTTATGGAAACAAAAAAACAAAAATATTTCTTTCTTAACCAATCAAATGCCACAGAATAGCTTGCAATTTATCTATTAGAATGTATTAGTGATTTGGTACGAAAATAATTCAGTTAGTATGCAAACAAAAATATATTTATAATAGTTGTTGCCTTTTAATGAAACGTGGAGCAACGAGCTCTTAAGGTAAAAAGGTTGAAATGTGATTTTGAGGAAAGTGGTTAAGTAAAAATAAATAATTTTAAAAAAAACGTGCTTCCTTCATTCAACATTGCAAACTGTTTATTAGTAAGGTAGCTTGCAGAGTAATAAGAAACCCGTGTTGAAACCAGATAACAGGTTAAATTAGACGGATAGGAAAAAATGCTTTCGGAACAAAACAGCGAACAAAAATATATTTATAATAGTTGTTGCCTTTTAATGAAACGTGGAGCAACGAGCTCTTAAGGTAAAAAGGTTGAAATGTGATTTTGAGGAAAGTGGTTAAGTAAAAATAAATAATTAAAAAAAACGTGCTTCCTTCATTCAACATTGCAAACTGTTTATTAGTAAGGTAGCTTGCAGAGTAATAAGAAACCCGTGTTGAAACCAGATAACAGGTTAAATTAGACGGATAGGAAAAATTGCTTTCGGAACAAAACAGCGAATAACGTCCCAAGGCATGTTCCTTTACAATTTTAAAGGGGCAAGAAATCAATCGGGAATTTAAACCATAAACCTTTTTTACAGAATTGAATATTATGACTAACACAATATTTGAAGTTGAAAACAATCCAGTTGTCGACATTGTTTTTTTGTGCAAGTTACTTTATTTTGTGTCAAGGTCAGATTAATTAAAACATGTATTCGCAGTTAAGCCTGTCGGTTGTTACACATGGCACTATCACGCATAGACGAAATAATCACCATCATGACCATGACTAAGATTACACTGACATATCTAGAAATGATAACAATCACAGTCCTATCTTAACAGCAATAAATGTCACCACTGTCAGTTGATTACTATATGCTAGATCCAACCAAACCCTTAGTACGGAGATAAGGTTTTCGAAGAAATTATACGCTTTTGAACCCAACTTGGCTTCCCTTCACACATTCAGACTGGACTAGATTTCAAATGAATAATGCCCTTAACGGCCATAATGAAAGTAAGATTGTAACCTCTTGAACAAATACAGCGTTAATACACGTCTAGCTAAAGTGGGAATCTTTGTGTCCATGGGAATGTTTTCAGTACCAAGCTTTGGAAACGAGTAGTTTTGTTGGGAAGATTTCAAAGAATTCAAAGAAAAAAGTATCCAAAGAAAATCAACATGGGAAGGAAACTGTGTACTCCAAGCAGCATATTTTCAGTTTCATCATAAAAGAACCAATCTGAAAAAGTATTTGAAAATTTAATTTATATTTCGACAAGTTTGAATATTGATAATCTGTAAGCCAAGTATTAATAATGAGGTCTTATGTTATCACCAGGTGAGATGGCTGAAGCACTGAAATCAAAAACGGACCTGCACCTTGGCCTGTACCATTGCCCGGAAGGATGGTTTCACCCTCTCTATCTACAGGACAAGGCCAACAACTTCACCACCTCCAAGTTCGTTGAGGTCAGCTTAACTAAATATGTCATTGATGGATTGGCAATGGGGAAAGTGTGTTTCATTACTACAATGTATCATTGCAGGATACCAGATTGGGTTGCACACATTCTGCCCAAACCAAGGCCTTCAGCGCGAACGCTGTAACCAGTCGGCTACCCCACTGTCTACTTATGATTTGGAATTGAAATTGAGATGGTGTAAGGGTTAATGAGTGAGGGTGAGTGGATCAGTTGGTTATTAGGCTGGGCATTTGGGCTGGTGAGTAAGTTGGTGAGTTGGTTGGTGAAAGTGAAATGGTGAGTTGGTAGGTTAGTTCAGTTCATCTGTGATGGATTGTGTACAGTGTGAGAAGTCCATTTCGAGTGTTGTCTTCCATGATATAGCCAGTGGCGTAACACCATACTCACTCCTTCACGAAAGGTAAAGTTTACCTCCCCAAAAGGCTGTAGTACATACTAGACATCCAGCTGCAACAGCTGATACTGACAGAGTTATAAGCCACACTGACTGATCGATCATTGTCATGTTCTCCAAGAAATCGAACAAAGTTTTGCAATTCTTATAGTCACTTGACCTGGTTCATCAGTCGAATTCATTATTTCTGTCACGTGAAGCCTATCTGGAACTGGTCCACAGCATTAAATGTAATGTTGTTTCAGTGTGTACTATGAACATATCACATCATGTGGCATGAAAGTCAGTGTGACTGGTCGAGCATCATTATGTTCTGCATGTACCCAAGAAACAGGGCATTGTCTGCAATTCTTATAGTCACTTGGTTCATAAGTTGAATTCATTATTTCTGTCATGAAGATCTTATCTGGAACCGGTCCTGAGTATTATGAAAAATGTACCATGAAAATCAAATCAATTTCAGGCACAGATTACCCCCGAGCTGTATGAGCTTGTGAACAACTACAAGCCCGACATTGTTTGGTCTGATGGAGAGTGGGAGGCCCCAGACACCTACTACGGATCCAAGGAGTTTCTGGCCTGGCTCTATAATGACAGGTTTAAAGCGATTATGCTTGAAATTCATTGCACTTATTTACTTTTTGACATACACAATGGTTAAATATACAGAAACCCGACATTGCAGGGTTGGTAGCTAACCATTAAGTTCACAAATGCCAAAACAGTAAAAGATTAAGTATTCACATCATTACATTGATACTATGTAACAAATGTATGTTCTGTCAATTTTGTTAATGGCTGGACGAGCACTTTAAATATCGACTGGTTACTCTGCCTACCACCTATAAAATAACTTGTCATTGAATAATGATTTCCTGATTTTAGGCCTGTCTGAAACTATGAAGAATTGGTTTCAGAAATCACATCAATCTCTTCCGTCTCACTCTAGGTTTCCCTTGCACATATATTTTATAGACTTTGATTGCATTTCAGGGTTTTCGGTATTGTCAGTGGTAGTCATATACTAATACCTAAGGACAAATGACTGGTATTCAAGACAACACTACCCATAAAAAAATATGCTCTTGTACATGTCATAGTTTAGTTCAGACTCCTGAATATTGTCTCTTTTCAGCCCAGTGAAGGATACGGTTGTCACCAATGACAGATGGGGAGACGGAGACCATTGTCAACATGGGGGATACTGGACATGCCATGACAGGTACAATCCAGGTACGAACCTAAAATATTTTACAAGAACGTGAGTATGGTTTTACACTGTACATATCCAGCACGTATATTCGTGTGGGCCACCAGAAATGGGCTTTTCACATTGTACCTGTGAGGGGAATCGAACACGGGCCTTCAGTACGATGAATGAACACTTTAACCACTGGGCTACCCTCCACTGAAATATTTGATCAAATCACATTAAATTCAGAATAATGTCACTATTTCAAATACCGAAGTGAAATAACGGCATGCATGCAGCTTTTCCTTCTTACATGCTAAAGAAGTACTTCAGCCAAGAAAGTGGGAGAATTCGATGACAATTGATAGGAAATCCTGGGAATTCCGCCGAAAAGCTGTCCTGGATGATTATCGGACCATGAAAGAGATTATAGCCATCCTTGTTGAAACTGTCAGGTGAGTACACTGAAACTGTTGTGATAGAAATATATATGAAATGTGCAACACGTAGCATTTGGTTGATAGTATGAGCAATGTCCCACATTGTCAATGGTACAATGGCACAAAATGTGCCTCGACCGCAAATTGTGTCCACTGATACTGTTTGGTGTTTCTGCTGTAAAGTGTGACTGTAAGGTAGTGGTGATAAAATAGGGTTTAACGTCGTGTTGAAGCTATGTGCATACACGCGTGCCTGTGTCTGTGTGTGTGGCTGCTTGTGCCAGTCCGGACAAATGTGCGATTTATAGTGCTAGCCCACTGAGATACCAAGCCGTAGTTTAGCACGAATGCTCCACTCAGACACAGTATACCGACTCCGAGCCGACCAGTCCTTGTTTAGGCCACTTCATGCCTAGCGCCAGGTTGAGTAACAACAAGCACCATCTTTTAACATATTTTGGTATGGCACGGCCGGGGATGGAACCCACGACGTTCCGCTCTCCAGGCAGACGCTCCTCCCACTAAACCACGGAGGCGAGCAGACTGTAAGCCGTGACTGCTGATGCTGTAAGGTGTGTCTGCTGAGGTTGCAACTTGTGTCTGCTGAAAATGTAAAGTGTGTCTGTGGAGACTGTAAGTAGAATCTGTGGAGAAGGTTAAGTGTGTCTGTAGATACTGTTAGGTGTCTTTGTGGAGAATGTGAGGAGTGTCTCCCGAGAATGTGATGTGTGTCTGTTGAGAATGTATGCCCTTAGGTATGTCTCCTGAGAATGTAAGATGAGTATCATGAGGCTGTAAGACTGAAGAAACTGTATGATGCACCATACGTCCCTTCAATATTAGAATCTTAATGATTTGGAAAAATGAAGTCAAAGAATGATTTTGTAGACACAACCTGAAAGAAACACTATTGCACAGGTAAAGTAGGGATCAAGCAAGCTCCTGTGGGGTGCTGTAAAGAATCCCTAGCACCAGCATCTCACAGTAACACATCCACATCAGTAAGTGTAAAATAGATCTTCAGTATAGCTGAGCCTTACCTCTTTATTTGCATTTTGTCAATGAAGCTTTGAACCATATTTATGTTTACATCATAGTGATGTTGGAGGAAAGTTAAAGGTAATGTGGGTCTTAGACATTTATCCCTTTGGTGAAACCCACAAGCATGAATTTGCTCTCATAAACCTTGAAATATAATCAAGGCTGGACTTGAACCCACAATGATAGGATCATTGACATAAATCCTGTAGTTTGGCTGCAATCGCACCAAAACTTATCTTCAGAATTCTCAACAAAAGCCCTCTTCACTGTCAACTACACACAGCTAGTTGTCAACACAAAAATACCACCAATGAGCTCTTCCAGCTCTTCAGTGATGTCTATTGTAGCTCTATTGTACATTGTTGCCAGAATATACCGGAGAGTTCTGGCTATAGCGTATTACGCGTGTATTTGACAATATGATAACATTCTCGTGATTCCATCCCATAATAGTTCTTTGCAATCCTGAAAGTGAAAAACAAACCAGCGAATCACCGTAAGAGGACTTCAAAACTTTATGTATAAAAACAGAAATATATGGTACCCTCACTAGAACTACCTTCATATTTGATTATGACGTCACTTCCGGCTTTGCTCCAACATGGCATCGCGATTTAGGTCTTAATCTACATTGACGTCATTGCCAGTTTATCTGCCTCTATGTATCCTGTGCTGAGTAGGTAGAATGATATAAGGTGCACTTACCTTTTGAGACTCCAGATTCAGGACCGCCGGACATGGTTTGGTTTCGGGAAGATTCTTGGAGCTCTGATATCTTCCATAAAAATGAATTCTTTAGTCTATTGGCAGTAGGATGATCACTTATATACAATCCATCACGATGTAGGACTATAGTTAAGAGTCAGCTACCATGGGGATAACTCAGTTCTGTCTCCCAGATCGTGCCATCATCTCCATCAGATTAACCCATTGCTTCGATTGTCACGAAGGAGGGGTGAGGATGGTCTCGGTGACTTAGCAAGGGCTGCAGAGACGGATTTAGAACCTGCGTCTTGCATTTTCCGCCAGAAGCGGTCATATGAATCATAGGTTGATTGTTGTGAAATATGTCTGATTTGAGTTTGATGCAGGAGATCACGTCTTTTGGAAGATGGATCGTTTCTTCCATGAGTAGTGGCAACAATCTTTGAACCATGCGCTGCTTGACCATAGTGAGTGAGTGAGTTGGGTTTTACGCCGCTTTTAACAATATTCCAGTTATATCGCGGTGTGTCAGCTTAATGTGGGAGGAAAGCCCGAAGTGATGCAGGTCTCAGACGTTTACCACTTCGGTGAAACCCACGAGCACGGGTATGGTGCCGACAAACCTAGAAACATAATCTGGGCGAACCGGGATTCGAACCCACAATCATAGGTTTCTGGCATGCCCAAGGGACGCAACTTTGCACAGCGAATCGCGGCGCCTTAGACGACTGGGCCACCCGTGCCCCCTGCTTGACCATAAGAGAGCTATCAAGATGATGATGCAATCTGTCATCAATGAGCTATCATCAACGAGCTATCAAGATGATGATGCAATCTGTCATCTCTATCTTCCCGATCTTCACTTTGTCTAGAAGAGTCCATTGTGGGAACGAGTAGGTGAACAGACTGGACCAATCCATCTATATGGCATCAACTTGAAGAGCCATTATGTCATTTACTGGGCTTACATAGACCGGAATGTTTGTGTAGACAAGTTGCAAAGAGATCCAGATGTGGGAAGTCCGATAGTGACGTTATCCTGTTAAATACTTCTGGACGCAATGATCATTTTGTTGTCAGTATCTTCCCTCGGTAAGAAAGGATATCCACCAGGATACTTGTATTCGGTTTGAAGAGATTATGTCGCTTCCATCTGGCAATTGATGGAGTCTGCCAAGGCAAAAAATCTTATTGTCTCCTTCATCAAGGAGCTGCATTTGGTATCTCCTTGCTTCTGTATGTAAGCTACCACTGTTTTGTTGTCCATTGCTTTGAGGACTGAGGAGTGACATTGTTGAGCTGTCCAGTTCCTGAGAATGGAAGATTACATTCATTTCTAGGCAGTTTATATGGAGTTTCTTTTTTGGAACCGTTCCAAAGACATTGAACTTGAGATTGTCCATATGTGCTCACCTTTCCATGGTTGATGTGTCCGTGGACTGACTAGGTCAGGTCGATAGGATCGGAAATAACAGGATAGTTGGTTGCTGAGTCAGAATCTGTGGTTGCGGAGACCCCCAGGTTCTGACGCCTTTTCTGCGACATTTATATCCAGGTTGGGGTGATGACTCCACAGTTGGTTGCGTTCTATCCCTTCCTCGATAGGCTTGATAAGCAAAAGAACGCTGTGACTTGTGTGGATAAAGGGTCCTCCTGCATGTGAACACACGTATCTAGCAGGTTATGGATTAGCCTAACTTGATCCACCATGATGGAGCAGTGTGTGTCAACAGTAACTCCTTCATAGGAATCCGGTAATGGTGACATGGCATGGTGGATTCCGGCCACAAACCAATTAATATACGCCTGATGTCCATGGAGTGGTTATTAACAGATGCGAAATCTTTCATTCTAGCTGAAGGTAGGTCAACTCTGGTGTGTGGAGAATGGACCAGTTTCATAAACTCTTCGTCCAAAACCAGAGAGGGAAGGCGGTCATCATCAACTCATCATCCCAACTTTAATAAATTGATGCACGGTCAATGATCTTGTGGCCGTAACTTGGCCATGGCAGAGTATGGTGTACTCTAATGGATGGAACTGGGGTCTGAGATCTCACATATTCTGGCATCTGTTGGAATTCATATCGTTCCAACATCGGTTGTATTAATGGCATGAAATGGTATAACAGTTCTATCTGATCCGTGATAGAAACATGAGGGTCACTATCTCACGACAGAGGTTAGTCAGATCCATAACACGCTTCTTCAACCACTTTGTAGGGTCAGAGTTAATCCTTTGGGGTGACAAATCCTGATGCATAGCAGCCATATCAGTCATGGGGTCCACGTGATCATCACGCGTGTCATCGTCCGATGGAGTATGAGACACTCGGATGGTCTGCCTAATCCTATTCTCTCTTTCGCGTTCCCGATCTGGATGGTGTTTCAGCAGGAGTAGCAGTAGAGGAAGATGGAATATCAGTCGCCATTTTCTTGGAGGCCTCATTCCTCCTAGCGTTCTTGGTGGAGTCAGATAGCTTGCGGATAAGGATGTGCATGACAAGGGTCCAAGGGTCTGCAAGTCTCTTCTGTGCAGGAGGCGTCTCTACATTTGCAGCAAACCGGATGAGAATACCCTGCAACCATGAACATCCCCTACGATTTAAAGACTGGAGGAGTGACCAAGGACGCCTTCTTCGACCCGCACCAATACCAACGGCACCAATACTAATGTGAGTATCGGATATGAGGGACCCTTACAAATCCGGACTTTGTAGTTATCCATTATGACAATATAACGTTAGTGCTGGAGACTAGACTCATTTGAAAAGCTAATGTTGACTCAAGCACCCACGGGAAAGAAGTGGGGTTTCCAGCCTTAGCAAACTGAAGAGCTGGATACTGATTGGTGGTACTATCATGTTGACAACTAGTTGTGTGTAGTTGACAGTGAAGAGGACTTTTAATTCTGAAGATAAGTTTCGTTGTGATTTATGGCAATGATGTAACAGAGGTGGTGTATTCACAAGAATTATAGATTTCTCACACGCTTAAGGGACGCACGTCAGGACAGTGAATTGTGGCAGCTTAGATGAAAGGGCCACCTGTGATCCCACGTGTCAATTTGCATCATAAGTATAGAAGATATCAAATAACGTGTATACCGAGTGTTTTCTTTTACCGCTGTGGAGGGAACCTGCTGATCAATGTGGGGCCAACCAAATATGGCATGATAAGTCCAATCTTTGAAGAGAGACTGCGTCAGATGGGAGAGTGGCTGAAGGTGAATGGGGAGGCCGTATACGCCTCCAGTCCTTTGCTGGCCCAAAATGACACAGTCACGCCAGGAGTTTGGTAGGTACTTTATACATTCAACGCCTTTGTTGGATGAGAACGACTCTGTCTCACATGAGTTTGGATGTACATTATATATTCCACACCTTGGCTGGCCCAGAAATACAGTCACAGCAGACGTTTGGTGGATACTTTAAAAATGTCAAAAATGTTCTTAGTTGTCTTTCGAGTACTTGGCTGCTGAACACGAGCCAGCTCACCTGAGTAAATTTAGGTTATAGTAATCAGAAAAAAATTATATAGACGCCGATAAGTTGGGTATGGTTTAAATCTCCCTGATATGAATGCTTTTTCAGCTTTATGATTATATTGGTTTAGATATTATGTTTAAATGTGATTTTCCTGATAAAATTGCTTGTTTTGTTAACTTTTCAAAGCCAATACTGGGTCTAAGGTTGAGATATCCCACAGATTCAGTTCTCCTTCATACTACTCTGCGTTATCTTTCTTCAGGTACACACAGAGAGCTGGGATCGTGTATGCTATCTTGCTGAACTGGCCACAACCAGGTCAACTCCACTTGGGGTCAGCATTGCCTAATAATGAAACACAAGTCAGCCTCCTTGGGTACACTGGAAGCTTCTCCTGGCAGTATGCTTCACCCAAAGGAATCAGTATCACAATCCCTCCCATCCCTGTCAACAAGATGCCATGTCGGTTGGGATGGGTCTTCGCGCTGACATAAATGATTGGCCTTCTAATGACAAAAGGTTGACAATGGAATTGGGCTTCACAAGGGCTGACACTTAAATGGATCGGCCTTTACAATGACATAATTGGTTGACAAAGTGATGCATATGGGTCTTCACAATAACACAAACGGTTGATAGTAAGGTGGGCCTTCACTATGAGACAAATGCTTGGCAATAAATGGGCGTACATAGTGACATACCTGGTTGACTATTAATGAGCGTGACCTTCACAATGACACAAATGGTTGATAATGGGATGACCATCACAATGACATAAATGATAGACAATTAATAAAATTCAATGGTTGACAATATAACGAGTCCAAATAGATATATATGTCATTAAGCTTTTCTTGTGTGAAAATTGTTCTGATAAAACAATAAATGCTGCCTAGAGTGCGTATATATAAACATTACTATATCTGGTTGGCTTTTTTTTTGTTAAAGAAAATATATCTATTACAGTAGACAGCAACATGACATGACAAAACATGACCTGTAGTAAGTGCAAGGATTATCTCTCTTGAATAAACATGGTGTTAACTGAAGGATGAAGGGTACGTGTAAATATGCCTGACGGAAATCACATGATGAAAGTGACTTCACGGCAGCTTGAGCTGAATTGCTTGTTTCTGGGGTTAAGTATTATGGTATTAGTTGAGAGGGTGAGTTGAGGCTGTCACTGCTACATTGCTCTATCATGGTATCCTGTAGACAATATAATTTGGGCAAGCAAAACTATTGGCTGAGTGAGTGAGTGAGTGCGAGCGAGCGTGGGGTGGGGTGGGGCTGGGTGGTTGGATCTGTGGTGTGAGTGTGTGTGTGTGTGTTGGGGGGGGGGGGGGGGGGGGTATGTGGGTGATTGGTTGGGTTTGGTGAGTGGGGGGGGGGGGGGGGTGCATCACAGTTATCTCGGCCGGCTGTAACACATGTCCACATTACGCATAGGCGAAATAGTCACCAGCTTTATCTTCACTCAGATTACTCCAACATACTCAGGAACGATAAGCGCTGAAAAAAAACTAAGATCTAAAATTTAAGTCTGTACATTTCCACTCTCTGTATCTACACGACAAGGCCAACCAATGTCATTTGCACAGCACACATTTAGCATGACCAGATAGTATTACCCTCGTGATCTTCACCCAAATCACACCTATATATACATCTCGGAATGATATCACAGTCATATCGTAAAAGCAATACATGTCACCACTTTTGAAATGGCTTCCCGTCTAGCTGGAGCTCTTTTCCTAGCCATCCTTGTAACTATCCAAGCAAATGCTTTACACTATGAAGAAAGTCCAGAAATTCGCTTTGAACCCAACTGGGCTTCCCTAGATTCCCGCCCACTTCCGTCGTGGTACGATGAAGCTAAACTGGGAATCTTCATCCACTGGGGAGTGTTCTCGGTACCAAGTTTTGGTTCAGAATGGTTCTGGGAACGCTGGGAGGGGACGAAGGCAGCTGCCTACGTAGACTTCATGAAGGACAACTACAGACCAGACTGGACATATGCAGATTTTGCTAAAGATTTTACAGCTGAATTCTATGATGCAAATACATGGGCGGAGCTATTTGCAGACTCTGGAGCTAAGTATGAGATGATTGCTACTATTCCTATACAGTGCAGTAGATGACTGGCCTGACCATGCCCTCATTTAACACCTTGATTGTTTGTTATAGGTACATTGTATTTGTAAGCAAGCATCATGAAGGTTTCTGCAACTGGCCAACGAATGTCTCCTTCAACTGGAACTCTCAGATGGTTGGACCAAAACGTGACATTGTTGGTAAGAACGTACATGCTGTATATTGCACTTGATACAGTCCTTGGTCAGTGTAATGATCTGCTATTTAGTCGACCCAACATGTGGATAAGAAGTTGTGAAATTCATTTTTCCTGAATAACGAATGAGGCGATAACAGGCAGAGTTTTCGTGAAAATGATAAGCATGTGTTGCCCTATCTGTAGCACCCACCTTTTCTGTATCAGTTCTTCATAGCCATGTAGTTAAAGCGCTCTCTCATCACATGGAAGGCCTGTGTTCGAGACCCCACATGGGCACAGTGAGCTTAGTAGGTTATCAGTGATGGGTTGGGTACAGTGGCAGATATGGTAGAATTTCCTGTTTGCTTTCCAGACACTACGTTGCTCACATGTGAGGATAGGTTGCCAGCAACATAGGTTGGTCAGTAAGCGGCGACATTATGGATCGGATAATCGGATTTAGTCAGGCTCGGTGATCCATTAGCATGGATGATTGCTCACAATATCAGTCACTGGATTGTCTGATCAAGATTTGATTATAGTTCGAATATTGATTAGTGTAACATTAAACAACATACAAAGTTAACTAAGTCACTGATGAATACATCTGTTGCCAGGTGAGCTGGCAGAGGCCATACGCAGCAAGACAGACCTCCACTTCGGCCTGTATCACTCTCTGTTTGAGTGGTTCAACCCTCTCTATCTACAGGACAAGGCCAACAACTACACCACCACCAGGTTTGCTCAGGTCAGCTTAACTAAATATGTCATTTAAGGATTGTCAGTTGGGTAAGTGTGTTTAAGTGTGGTTGAGCGAAGGTGGTGTGAGTGAATGAGGGTGATGTATGCCACCTTTGGCAATATTCCATTACTATCACGACAGAGGACACCAGAAATCAAACAAAGGTTCTCAATGTGGATACTTCCTTCGAAAATCTTACCCCTAATATATCACTGCCAATATTCTTGCAATTTGGTTAATCATCACTCTAAAAACATTTAGATTTTCATCAGACGTCTTCTTCACTGTCAGTCATCTAAATAAGGAGTTAGTAAGATACTTCATATCGTGCGAAATGCCTCATGGCATGCGAGGGCGGGAGACGCATGTTTACACGGGAGAAACGGGTTTACAGTTAAACTACTCCAACAAAGATGCAGACATAAAGCGGAGGTTGTAGGGACTACTTCCTGATGTAACTGGGGTTTTATTCCTATTTATTGTTTGAAAATTCCTTCGATTACTTTATCTCCATTACATCATAGCCAGAATTCACCAGAGGGTTTGGGGGGAACTAGCATATGGTACTCCAGGACAGCTGACAAATAATGAAATATGAACACATAGAAACGTCAAAAAAGGCACGATACCCTGAAACCTGCACTGCTAATATGATTATAAACTGACGTCGAAAAAAAACTTTACCAGAGTTTGAAATCACTCTTGCTCAAAAACAACAAAACATACATGCATGAAGTAAAGTGTATTGAGAAGATCAATATATCAACATAATCAACACTGAAAATGACAATCATACCTCGACCGAGGATGACGTCAGAGCCCCCCAAGGTTGGGTGTGGTACAAAACTCGAGCTTTCAGAATCATGGACAATAGGCAGAGTACATAAACAATCGCTCACGTTCAATAACAAGTCATTAGTAGCGTGTGTGACCACCAAATGCCTCAATACACGCAAAAACTCTTCGACCCACAGAAAAAGTCAGTCGTCTGATGAGGTCACATGGGATTTGACGCCATTCTTCTTGGAGGGCCACGATCAGTTCTTGCCGGTTGGCTGGAGAGTGTGGTCGTTGTCGAACACGACGATCCATCAAGTCCCAGAGGTGTTCTATGGGGGACATGTCGGATGTGCGTGCAGGCCACGGCAGGGCGTTGACGTTGTTGGCTGCGAGGAAATTAGTGACAATTCGGGCTGTATGGGCTCTAGCGTTGTCATGCTGATAAATGCCACCACGTCGCTGCTGTTGGAGAAATGGTAGGACAACTGGACGAAGAATGTTATCCATGTAACGCTGAGCTGTCAAGTTTCCGTCAACGATGACCAGCGGTGTCCTCTCCTGCCCACAGATCCCTTCCCACACCATGACTCCCTCCACCATATGGTACGACCTCCTGCACGCAACACGCCGCCGTTCGTTCACCCCTTCGGCGGTAAACACGTTATCTTCCATCAGCCCTAAACATACAGAATCGACTTTCGTCAGAGAAGACAACCCTCTGCCAGTCACGTCGTTGCCAACGTCGCACAGTCCGGGCCCATCTCAATCGCAGATTGTCAATAGCTGTCCTCTGTATGGTCTAAAAGCCCTGATTCCATGAGCCCTGAGTCTCCTGGCCACTGTCTGTCGACTAACCCTGTGACCTAAGGCATTTGTCGCCGATGACGTCACTGTCAGGAAGCGATTTCGGAGGTGCATGGTACGCAAGTACCGGTCATCATGGGGCTTGGTCACCCTGGGTCTGCCTGTTCTTGGCCTGTCAGCGGTCCGCCCTGTCTGTCTGTAACGTTGCATCAAGTTGGTAACGGCAACACGGGAGCAACCGAAGGTTCGTGCAATATGGGCGTGGGTGGCTCCCATCTGTTCCATACCCAAGGCTCGTTCACGTTGTTCGACTGTGAGTCGTGGCATTTCTT